GCCACCATACCCACCGCCGACGAAGCGGCGGCGCTCTTCTTTTTCGGCTTCTTCGTCTTCCCGGAGCTGCTTCCGCTAGTACTACCGATGTTGTTGATGTTTCCGGGTTGGGGGTCGCGGAGGTGCTGGCTCGGAGCTCTGAAGGTGATGGCGGGAAAGCTCACTCCCATTAGTGTTCCTAACGTTGTGCTCCGATCGTGAAAGAAGGAGCCTGTAGACTGCGATTGAAAATTTCCCAACTTTTCGCAAGTTTTGTAAACCAAAATTAAGAAATTGACGAAATTGGAAGAAATGAGGGAAATGAGTTACCTCGGTGTCGAGATCGGAGGAGGAGACAGAGGAGTTGGTGGGGGAGGAGGGCGGCGGCAGCATATCATTTCTTGGATCTAGCATTTTCCCCGCTTTCTGTTCTTTCTGCGTGTTGGTTTTGGGGAGAGGATTTTCTGTTTGTTTCTCGGGAAAATTGAGATGGGAATTTGGATTTTGATCTTGTTCTTGTTTGAAATTTGAAGGTTTATTTAAAGTGTGGAGAGAGAGGGGGGCAGGGGACGGTGATGCATGGTTTGAAATTTGAAGGTTTATCTAAAGTGTGGAGAGTGAGAGACAGAGAGAGAGGGAGAGGGAGGGACAGTGTTGCATGGGAGAGATTTTTCAATTTGATCAGCACACGGAATGGTACATCACGTGTTATTATATAAATAGTGAGATATATAAGTTAAAAAGTTGATAACTTAAAAAGTAAAATTTCTTATCACTTACATAAAATATGTGATGTATCATCCGTATTCCCGTCACAATGAAAATTTTCTCTTTTTTAAGTGGAAGTTGGATTGTGTTTCAAATCATTAATGTTTGGGGCTTTGGAGGTGCTTTGTCCTTTTCCATAATTTGTTAAAGAAATGGTTAATATCAAATGAGTCCCCTTGGGTTTCTAATTATCACTAGTGGCCCTATATGTCCTTACATATTCTAAGTTGCTCTTTACATTTTTACCATGTGAAGGTAATTCGTCTTTAATCTATTATATTCTATTAAGAGAATCCTTCTTGTCAATTTTTTGTCAATTTTTTTTTCAATTTTATCCTCACTTTTGATACACAATAACAATACTTACATAAGTAAGGAGGGAAAATAGTAATTTTGTATCTTTTGAGAAAATGACAATCATATCCTCATCTTCTAGTATAGGGGGGGTCCCAACGCATTGAAATTAAGTACGTCTTGAATAATCAAGGAATCACCGCGATGATTACTTATATCATACCTAAACGACCAAGTATCGTTCTCATTTAAAACGTCTCTAATCCTAAGCTAGTAAAATACACATTCGTCATGTAGATACAAATACGTATAAAAGACCTCTTAGGAGTGGGGGTTATACCCTACTGTATTGAGTCAAACAAGTCACTCAATACATTATGGTAATGGTAGTTTCAAGTGCTCGTATTTAATACGTGTTGTTTGTGTAGATTTGTTTGGTATAATTAAGATTTTGGATTTGATGTTTGGGCATTTATGAGTCTCACAGTTTAACTTGCCAAGCAAAAGACTTTGGAAGCACATTTGCAGGTTTTGTCCCAAAAAATTGAAAAGCTGCCGACACGACACGTCGACACCGGTGACCACTACTCATGGTCCTCCCTCCTCTCATAGTCATGGGGACGTATGGATAATATGGTCACAGTAAACATCAAATTTTAAAGTTCATATAAATTCTAGGATCGGCATTCAGATTTTGCATGTGTCTATAAGTAATTTGACTATTTCTCATATTGCCAATTAATTTTAAGAAGCTTTAATGAAAAGGGCTTGAACTAACAAATATTTCACCAAAAACCATCCCAAAATTTTTTTTTAACCAAAAAGGCTCAATGTTTAATAAAAAACCATCCAAAACTATTGTCCACGGTCCAAACTTACAAGCCCAACCAACTACAAATCTACACTTCCTTAAATACCCCTAAATGATTCGATATTGTCCTGACTCTTCACCAACCTCAAACCAGCACGAAACCGTCATAATAACTCTCTGTCTTCCTATCAAATCGAATTCTCCAATTTCAAAAACCATCAAATCAAAGTTCAAATCAAAGTTGAAAAATGAAGCATTCATTGGAACAAAGCCGCCGAAACAAGTTCAATGGCAGAAATTCCATTGAAACAAATTGGCAAAAAAGCAATGCAAAACGTACCAGAACCTCCGTCAGAACAAACCGGCGAAAAAGACGTGGAAAACATACTAGAACCTCCATGTGAACAAACTGAAGAAAAAGAAGTGCAAAAAACCATCGTTGAAACAAATCAAAGAAAAACTAACACTGTTTATGGAAAAAAAAAACTAACACTATCTCTGGAAAAGGAAAAAAAAAAAAAACATAAAACTGTTTCTGGAAAAACATAACACTGTTTCTGGAAAAATCAAAACATAACACTGTATCTGGAAAACTAAAACTGTTTATGGAAAAAAATCAGAACCACTGTTGAAACAAACCGGCGAAAAACTAACACTGTTTCTGGAAAAAAAAAAAAAAAAGCTAACATTGTCTCTGGAAAAAAAAAAAAACCAAACATAAAACTGTTTCTAGAAAAACCACAACATAACACTGTTTTAGGAAAAATAATTTGATACAGTGTTTGTTTTGTTTGTGTACAAACAAACACTGTATCTGGAAAAAAAAAACAAAATATAACACTGTTTTTGGAAAAAAATGTTGGCAAAACTGTATCTGGAAAAAAATATATATTGTATCTGAGAAAAAACTGAATAAAAAGCTAACAAATCTCAAATTTATTTTATGGAGAAACAAACGATGAACTCCACTAAAGAAGAAAAATTGAAAAATAGTACCTCGAATTCTTCTTTTCTTCTTCATCAAATTGAAAGGTTAATAATAAGATGAATGAGGAGGGAAGGGTAGAAATTCACCTTTGGCTTTTTTGCCAATGTCGGTGAAAGTGCAGATCCCTTGCTCATCTTTACAGAGAAGACAGAGAGAGAGAGTGAGAAATTTTGGGAGGGAGGAAGAGAGAGAGAGTGACAAAATCATACCGTTTTGCTTGTAAGAGATCGTTTCCGATTTTCACAGAGATGGAGACGGCTCAAAATTAGGTTTGGGGTCGAAGTTGTGGTTTTTACATAGTGATAAAAATGGAGTTGCTATGTGAGATTAGAAAGAAAAATGGAAGGTTTTGAATGTCAAGAAAAAATAGGGGAGAGAATATGAGAGATCCATAATGAAGAGAGTTTAACGGACAAAAGATTGCCGTTAGGGATAAAATCATAAACTCAATATTTGGGCCATTTTAATTAGACTGATTTATATTGTGCTTTGTCCTAACCATTAAATAAAGTTATTACAATGTTTTTGGTTAAAACTCAAAGTTTTCAAACCATTTTCATTAGTTTTCCTTTAATTTTATTGTAAAATCCCAACTTTCTTCGATCAGGCCGGATCAAAATACAAGTGAATCTATATGAGATATAAGACGTTCCATATAAATGACGTGGTTGTGTATCACCCCCGGAGTTTTTTCTCAATGTGAAACATTCCAGGCAGAAGTAGCAATGATTGCCCCCAAACGAGTGACATAGATTACCATCCTCCGACGTTGCTTTGCTACAAAAACTACGTAACACCTCATGTTGTGTTGGCGTGCATCGAGCACCACATCGTTTGGAGTCTCATTGATGACTAATTCTTTCGAAGTATAACGCTGAGGTGGTGTAGGCTCCCCTGAGCGTGACTAATCCCAGCTTTCCCATGTGCTACTATCAGAACTGTAAGATGCCCTCATCTCCAAAGACATGGGACATCACAGAGGAGAAGAATTTTACTTTAACGGTCCAGAGCTGTGGATTTGTTTATATCAAACTCCATATGGCTGGTAGGACGTCCTATCTTTACCAGAAAAAACTTGGGTGCAAGAGTAGATATATCTCCCACTCATTTGCGCGAGACATATAAGATCATCTCTAATCATTGGACTAAAAATTTAGGTTTTAACCTAGAAACAATTTTTCTCCTCCAACTCTTATGACCTAAATTTTTAGCCCGAGATTATTAAAGAATAAATTTAGACTAATTTTTTCTTTTAAGTAATTTAAAAATAAATAAAAATTATGTACACTATCCTATTTTAATTTTATGAACATTTTAACCTAAAAATATTTAGATTCCGATAAATATTGAAAAATCACTAAACTTTGGTGAATTTTGAGTCAAATATTTTTTTTTAATTATTTTAGCAGTTGGATTTAAATTTGGGCAATTAGATTTTTTTTTTTTTAATGTTAGATTTAATTATATTCAATCTTAGCTGTTCAATTCAATAAATCCTGGAGGACATGCCTACGTGAGTGGGGTCCAGCTGATGGTGCCCACACCATTTTCTAGGATAAATCCTGGAGTATTTCTGGCTTTGTTTTAAGTTTTAGGTTTTATGTCCAATTTTCCACTTGGGTTGGGTTGGATTTGGGAGGGGGATAGAAGGGAAAAAATAGGTTATAGCCTATAGGCCAAGAGTTGGTCTAAGGGGGTTAATATCACGAAACGTAAAATGCATACAAGAGAGAAATAGCCACTCACCGCGGCAAAATCTTGGTGGGAGGAATGTACCCGGAATACAGTAGGATCTCTCCGCAACCACTGGTGAAGTCGCTGGTCTTGGCCACTCACCGGCATGCACGATCTGATGGTCGTTATAATTTGGTCCCTGAGTCTGACAAATAGTCACCTGCACTGCAGTATTCAGTTATGCTTTCCCCAACTACCATTTTAGAAACCTGGAAATACCACATTAAACACGGAACACTGGTGTTTATCTAAGCAAATAATAAGAAAACAAGCGGAAAATCTACAGGATCACATTGCTTGAAATGAACGGATGAGATTTAAGAAACATATCCCATAGCTCCATCATACCCCATTAATATCCCGATGCACTTAAAGGCAATAAAATAGATAATAATACGATAAAAAAAGTCACCTGGAAATAGATAATAATATCAAAAAAGTCAATAAAATAAAATAATGGGGGACCGGACAAAAACGTGAAGATAATAGTACCAAAAAGTGATCAAATCCACTGCTAAACCAGCCAGTTTTACATGGAATTGTAGATCCACCACTTTAACACTTGCTTTTTCTATCACAAATTGTATTCCCTACCACACATGCACTCCCAATCTTCAAAGTTTCCCGCTTCATTCTTTTGGAGTTCAGCTGTTAGGAGTAAGGTGGTGGAAAAGGCAGCAACATCAACCCCCTCCAAATGATTGCTTTTTCTAAACCCTACGAATGTATTCCTTTTCTATAAACAGAAGTTGAAATGTACATTAACGAAACCTTCGTCTGGTTGTCGTGGACTCAAACCCAGAAAAAATGTCAATCTGGCTTGAATCTGTGACCATAATCAATCTGATCTACATGGGAGATAAATCATGGATATAGTCATCCCACATTTCACTTGCAATCGAATCCCGCATTTGCGAAGTGAATTCCAGTTCTTCTGTTTCAAAAGAAATGTCCAAAGCAGAGGTTTCAAAATGCATGATTGGTTGCTCCACCTCCGCTAACGGGGGAATTGATTCCTCCATTTGCAGTATGGTGTCCTTTTCGTACATTTTAAAGATCCAGTCATCTGGTTTCTCCTCACGGATGAAGTTGTGTAGGGCACAAGCTGCCACAACCAATTTGACTTGTGTTTGTAATGGGTACGGAGGGGCTGACATCAATATAGGGAAGCGTTCTTTTAAAGCCCCAAAAGTGCGATCAGATGCATTTCGTAGCAATGAGTGTCGCTGATTAAATAGCTCTTTTGCATCTTGAGGTTGATAACCACTAGGAAACACCGTTGAGTGATAAGGTATGCCAGGATATGGAGCAATGAAGCCAGGCATGTTTGGATACTTCTTGTCCACGAGGTAGTATTTCCCTGTTACAAATTTTGATCCCAACAGTGGTAGTAAGATCCCACAGTAATTGTAGTACTGACAGAATAAGATCGTTTCTATATATTTTCCAAACAAGTAAACCACCATGTGTTGCATACATGGGATCCTGCAGTTTCCAGTTCATCTAATTTTGACAGTACATTTACTTCTAGAAATTATTGTCTAATAAGTAAATTATAATCTATTTAATCTGCCTTGTATTTTGACAGTTGAAAATGCAAATCTACTACATCCCCATTATGATGCGAGCTAGCCAAGATAGAGCTGATCTTTGGAAGGAAGATGGGACAAATATGTCCACCAAAATGTAACAGATGTGTAAGAGAGTTCACACTTCATATGGTGGCTTCAGTGTAATTTCATAGAATAGGAAAGGACAACTTTGTCCAACAGAAAATCTCACATTCAAGGATGTTTAGTGAATAGTGATTGACATGAATTATGATCTATAATCAGGCAATCAAACTTGTGTCCGTATTGGCATCACACTCGCGCTAGCATGCTGGCTTTTATATATGATAACATTATGAAATCAACTAAACAGAAGAATACTTTTTTAATGACTATCAATTTAAGGAGGAAACACAGTTTTCTACGTTAACTGAGCGTTTAATAGTCCAATTCAGGTTGGCAATACCTTCTGGCATCTGCAATTTGTTTCGTCTGGTGAGAGCAGAATTCAAAACTTGCAAATCTGAAGCAGAGCCTTCCCAACCAGCCAAGACATAAAGGAACTTGAGATCAAATGAGCAAGCAGCCAGAACATTTTGTGAAAGTAAGCCATTCTTGTCGCGGAAAGGTCCTTGCTCATCTACCCCCACCATCACCGGGAAGTGTATGCCATCAACTGCTCCCACACAATCCTATAGGATAAAATTTTTGAATTGTAAATCACATAGAAATGAGATACATATCATACTTGGTTACTGTGGGACTACCTTAAAATATGGATAAAATCTAGGATTTTCTGAAATTTCGGATGGAACATCAGATCCTGGAGGCTGAAAGAAACCTAACGAAATTGCCATTACTGCATTTAAGACATTGTTGAAATGACGACTAATGGTTTCCCCTGAATAACGGAATAACTCTTGAACAGCTCGAGTCCGTAGATTATGACCAATTATGAACAAGAACATGGCCAATTGCTCTTCAATCTTGATTCGATTTGTGTGGCGCAGTAGGCCTTTTCCTTGCAAAATATCACACAACTTGTAGAAGACATGCTTATCCATGCGAAAGTTCTCTAAACAGCGTTCATTTTGACCATTAAGGACTTCATCTATAAACTTTGCACCAGTAGATGATAAAGCATGACTAAGTTCTTTCGGTATATAATTCTCATAGACTGTATCCTTTTCATCTTCAGAGATCTCCATTACCAACTACCTTTGCACAGCAATGTATGCATTGAATATCAGCAAGTATATGGATGGAGGTCAAACATAAAGAAATGACAAAACAAAAGGAACAGATTCGATATCAATAAGAGAGTACAGCTTAACAACTCTTGCCAGCTAAATGATATCGAAATTACATGATTTCTAAATGAAAAGGTCATATATGAACAAGAAAGAGTGTCAACTGTTAAACCCCATAATTCAAAGAGGTGTTGCTTCCTCATAAGCATTCTACAACAATGATACTTTTGTGAATCACCTTAAAAGTGAAAATCTATGAATCCACCAGGATAACCGAGTACATTAATTTAGACACGAAGAGCGACCATCTTTAAATGATGCTGAGACCATAATATGGACCATTCAATACACATGGAATGAAAAGATAAAGAGTAAGATAAAAGCATAAAAGTCTGGTAGCGAAGAAATGCAGAAAATTACAGATGCTTGCTCTCTCAAATTCAAGTACTTTAGACTCAACTCAAGTTAACCTTCATTTTAGCGAATGAAGGAGTCACCTGCATCAATATTTTCTAAACACTTATCCCTAATCTATTTTAAGGTCTTTTTCATTGATACACTCATAATGTTCGTAACAGAAGCACACGCGTGCATCCACACACACAGAATAAGGTTCTAAGATATGGCAGTACACTGAAATGTGTACTTCCTTCACATTAGTGGTTGTATATGCGTCCAAAGCCCGAAAATATCAGCATTCAATAGACAGGGGAGACTAAAGTACTAGCTGATGCTAAACCAAGCTACACCAACCGGATAAATTTCACAAAAACGACTCGATACAAACATAAACCAAAACAATGCAATCACAAACAGGGTAACAAATAATCTACGCAGAAAACCGCGAAAGTTACTGAAAACTTCATCAAACTCGAAAATTACAGAAACCCAGAATCTAATATGTGCAGACCTCACCACTAAAGCATCACAAACAGAAATTACACATTCAAATGGACATCAACAGAAATTGTACGCAATTCTGCTGAATTCTATAATCTGAAATAAGAAATTAACCGAATGTAAAATCAATTTCTGACGAATTCTACTTACAATTTGAATGGAATTAACCAAAAGATTAAAATCCAAGTTGAAGGAACGAAATTATAATCGCCACTAAACAAAACCCAAGTGGGAATTTATCGAAATCGAACGCCCATACCTGCGGAGAGCTGAGCTTCTGCAACTTCAGGAGGCAAACGACGTCGTCGCCGGCGGCTTGGGGGCGGAACGAGAGAAATGTGTGAGATGAACAGAATCGTTGGGTTTTTGAATTTGAGGGAGTTGTGAGTGAGTGAGGTGAGCCACTGAGTGACGTTACATTCTCCGTTGATTCTGTGCGTGTGCTTTTGCACTTTGCCGTCTCTCGCGCTCTCTCCTTTTATTTTCTCGATAAATTTGTAATTTGCAGTCTTCTGCAAACTTCAGACTGGGGGAGGAGGGTAGGCTGGCAATTTCTTTTGCTACTGTTACTTTGACACGAAATGATATGAAAATAATAAGTTTTGAACAACACGTTAATAATTCGGGCTATTATTCAGTCACATATTAATAACTCATTAAAAAGTTAAGTCACTCATTAAGAATTTGATAAGATATTGTTTATCATACATAAACATTAGACATGATAATTTCTTGCGTTGCCTATCACGAAACGACCGGTTAACAAATCTGTTCATTATTGAATTAGTTGTTAAGAACATTTGTTGGGTGTGAGGGCTTTTCTCTTTCTTTTTTTTGGGCTAAAACCATATTTCTCAAGAAACCCTATTTTGTAGGAGTGTGTTTTCAGAAAGCCCAAATTAATTCCTCCATTCTTGGCCTAATGAAGGCCTCAAAGTCGACAGTGACTTAGCCCATCTCTAACCAACCTGGCCAAAGGGGCATAGGGTTAAAAATAGCTTAGAATGACATGAAAATCGTCTTCAACCGAGGACTAGGTCAAAGGGCTTATGAACCCCACCGGACCCAAACTCCCAAATCAGGCTAGCGGGCTGGCCATTTCCAGCCAGCCAACCCTTCATCACCAGAATGTCAAGCTTGACATTTTGCCATCCCTTCAACTCCACGGCTGGCCATTTCCAGCCAGGCCTCCAGTGCCATAATGTCAAGCTTGACATTTTGCTAGCCCTCCAGCTCCACAATGTCAAGCTTGACAATATCTAAAATTTGCACAACCAATTACATATTGACATGTGACACTCGAAATCCTATTCAAAAAATTATTAAGATTACATAAAGATAAGAAATTTGGAGAGTTACTCACTTTAGCGACACGTGTCACTCGAAATCCTATCCGAAAAATTATTGAGATTACATAAAGATAAGAAATCTGGAGAGTTACTCACATTAGTGATACGTGTTACTCGAAATCATATCAAAAAAATTATTGAGATTATATAAAGATAATAAATCCGGATGCTTATTCATTTGGCAACAAGTGGCACTCAAAATATGTCCAAAAACCTTATTTTAATATGGTAGTTTAATTTGATTAACCATATTAATTTAATTAAAATAATAAATTATATTTAGCTTATGGCTCTTTGGCCCTTTCGGTTGGAGATTGTTTGTCAAAGGGCTATGTTTGGCCTATGGCCCTTTGGCCCTCTCGGTTGGAGACAATATAAAATATGACATAGCACTGTTCATTAAATTATAATTTATTGCAGGGCTAAAGGGAGTCCTTTGTCCTCATTCGGTTGGAGATGGCCTTACGTGCAATGAGAGGACACCAAGGGGACATTGTCCCAAACTCATAACGTGATGTCATATAGACAAACAAATTTGAAGCAACGGTATTGGGGTACAGAGATGTACTAATTTGAAACAATGGTATTGGGGTACAGAGATGTACTAAGCCACACAATAAGGTCAATGATAATATAGAATCGAGTTTGTCATTCATGGAAGCCGAATTTAAGATTTGTCACTTATAAATTTGAGAAAAATACCCATTAAGATTGTACTAGTGCTTGTAGCATGTCATTTGGCAGACTAAAATACAAGGGTTTTTATTAGGGAGTTTTAATGAAAAATCTGCGGTACTGTTTACTTTAACGAAAAACCATATTTTTACACTAAAAAGTCAATCCTATTACTATTCACTTTACCCTTTATTTTGTCCTTATCATTAAAACTTAAAGTTTTTAAACCCTTTTCATTAGTTTTCTTTTTTTATTATTCATACAGGCATCTTGAATGTTGTTGGAGCGAAAGACTGATTTAAGTGTCAGAGTGTTCTTGTAGGCAGTATGTACCTCCCGCTTCCCTCATCAATGGTAAATGAGGAATGAAATCGTTGGCTTCTTAATCTGGTTATAAGATTACTTGTTGAAGGATTAGAGGACCCAAATTTTTTCGTTCCAACTAGTGTATAGGACAGGTAAGTCACTTCCCCAAATATAAGAGAAATTTCCTAAATTTTGTCTTTGTGCAGAGGGTTTTTCTTTTTTTTGGGACAACATCGACATCGTTGTGCAGAGTTAGATATGAAGCTTACAGCCAAGCTTTTGTGTTTTCCTTCATTTGGTTTCTCTCATGTTCCCAACATGCAGTGCACCATGAAGCTTCCTATATATATATATATATATATATATATATATATATATTTCACACACATAATTAGGAGCGAAATTAAAAAGTTAGCTCACAGAGAAAACAACTAAATAGTGGCAGATCCCCGTTGCATTCCAAAAGGCGTGTGCAACGTCAACTTTTTTATTAAGATTTTCGATGGGGCATTTCTTTGAGCACTTGAACAATTCATATCATTATGTGTTTAGTGTAAATTTTTGTTCAGGGATTGGATAGCCTCCCAGTCTAAACTTTTAGAATGAAAAAATTGTAGTCATTTACTTTTATTTTTATGTATATTCTTATTTTTACTTTTAAATTGAATAACTCAATAAAGAATTGAGCGATAAAGCTAAATAAGTGCAAAAATAGTACATGTTAAAATCATGAGAGTTTTAACGAAACACTTTCGAACTGTTCATTTTTAACGAAAAATCATATTTTTTTTACCTTTTCTGTTACTATTCACTTACGCATTTATTTGTCATTTTTCATTAAAACTAAAGTTTTAGACTTTTCGATAGTTTTCCTTAAAATCATTCTTTCAAATTTGGAAAAAAAAAAAAAATCATTTTTTCAAAATAGGGTGGAAAAGAATTGAGCTCTTGCATGACGGTGTAAGTTTAAACCCTATCGATGATTAATATAATACCTAATTTAACAAAATTTATCGTTTGATCTAAAAAAAAAAAAAATCGCAGAGAAGGCCCATATTTATTACCAAAAGAATTTACTTACCATCACGGGGACACCTCATATGCGGGAAGCGGCGTATAATGATTGAACCTGAAACTATTGTTTAATATGGAAAAGTGCGTTTCTGAGTCATCGTCTCGTCATCGTCATCTTGCTACACATTGGATTGGAGAATCCAATTGCACGCTCAACCATCCAAAAGGATCAAAAAGTAGATGACCACCTCCACACCCATATACAATAAAGGGAAAATTTAAAATAAGTTCAATTTTACAGATTATCTTTTGAAATAGGTCTAATTTTTAGTGATTTTTAACTTTTGAAATAGAAAAAGTAGGCTAAATCATATTTTACTCTATCAGGCAATGTTTTGAAAAACGTTTAGGTGCTAATCTGGCGTTGAATTGAGATCTAGCGCACAGGCGGCTAGATGGACCAAGGTGGGAACCTGGACGGATTAGACGGATTTAAGTATATATATTGTATAAGTAAGTGCATACTTATATTTAAAAAAATACATAATTGCATTGTGATACATATATTACAAAATAGAATATCATACAAAGTATAAAGTTTTAGAATATAATGAAAACATAGAACAAACATAATCTAAGTATTCAACAGGTCTTTTACATTTTATTGAGAATAAAATGCAAAATGAAAATTGTCTATTTTATGTGTAATTGAGAGTTGTGACCTAGACGGAGGCTTAGGAGGGCAGGCACCTAAGCAGGTATAGGTGCCTTCTTTTAATTTTTAAACGCTTAGAGAATTAATCGGGATGGTGACCAGTTGCCTAGGGCCTATACAGCATTAGGCAGGAAATAACAGTGCTTTTAGGTTTTCATTTAATTTTAGATTGACACAATGTCTTTTAATTTTTTCAATTTCATAAAGTGGCTTAAGATTTTGTCTAATATCGTACAATCGTTATAAAATTGATTAAGTTAATTAAATACTGATGTCACAAATTTTAGCATTCTATTTTCGCTGACGTGACAGTCAAATTTGTCCACTAATGTCTTCAACTTCTCCTGTCCACCGTCTTTTCTTCTCTCTCTTCTCCCACAACACAATCCATTAATAAAAGCTCTAAACTTTAGAGCATGTTTGGTATTCTATTTGAATCTTGAATCTCTTATGTTTCCTCTCACACATAATACTTGTTCTTCTAATCTTCTATCTTTCTCTCATTTCCTTCTCTCTCCTCTTTCTCTCTATTGAGTTTAGAAGTTCCTAGTGTATGATGAGATTTTTTTTTCTTTAAAAACAATTGTGAATTTCATACAAACAAGTTTTTAAATTTTAAAGAAAATTATTCTCAAGAGATGTTTTGAAAAATGATGATTTTTTTTAATAGAATACCAAACAGACCCTTAAATATTACTGCCAATACAAAAATACCATTTTTCAACCCTTCACTATTTTTTTCTCCACAGCTAAAGGAAAAGGAAAAATGGAAGTAAAAGTGGCTTAAGGAGTTTGTTGATCTAAACGAGAAAGAGAGGTGCGGTGGTGATAGGAAAGGGGGTAGCTGCGTTTTTTTCACTATTTTTTAATAATTTAAAACCTAACTAAATTTTAATTTTTCTTAAACATTTATAGAAAAATTAGATTTCTAATTAGTTGTTTGGCACGTGACACAAATTTAATAATCAAGTTAACAAATTATATATAATACATTTGTTATATCATTATTTAACAGTTGACTTAACAAATCTTTTATCGACAACATTAATACAAAATTGCAAGCCCTTTTATATTTAAAAAAAAAAGTCGGTATGAATTTGAAATTAAACGCAAAACTGAGGTGCAAGATATCCAATAAATAGTAAATAAAATAGATGGAGAAAAAAAACAAAGATTGGCGCACAACGATGGAAACGTGGAGACGTTTGGCATCCGTAGGACTCAAATCCACGTCAGCAAATCCGTCTATATATTTGTTTAGTTTCAATAATTTAATTTCATCCCTCCTTTTGTGAAGAATCAAAATTGGTCAGTCCGGTCTTTAGTGACAGTGAGGGTCGTTGCAAAAACCAAGCTATCAGAGCAGCAGAAGAAAGCAGAGCAGCAATGGCGTCCAAGGGAGCTGTTCGGTTCGTCGGCTTGGATGCCTTGAGCTTGGACTTGGCTTCCTCTCTCCTCCGCAGTGGCTACAAAGTCCAAGCTTTTGAGGTCGCTGGGTTTCCTCCTGGACT